AGAAGTTAAAGTACTAACAAGAAAAAATGGATACATAAAATATTTTTTTTAACTTTTGAATTTGAAATTGTAAAAAAAATAATAGATTTAATTAAAATAATATAATATAATTAACATATATTAATACTAGTATTTTTAACTCATATACTATAAGAAAATATTTTGTCAAAAATATAAATTTTTAAAAAATTATTTTAATGAATTAAATATTTATAATGTATATAAATTTTAAAAGAAAGAATTTGAATAAAAGATAAATAGTCACAATAAAATTTTATAATAAAGAAATATATGTGTATATAAAAAAATTATACTTTTTATCTGAAGAAAAAATTAACAAATAAAAATTAACAATAATTTTTTATATTTTATATCTTTTCAAAAACTTCTTTGAACGTAAATAAATAGTAAGAATAATATTATTTAGATTCAATAGATTATAGTTGTGTTTATAATACATATGTTGCATAGAAAAATATTATTTTAAATTAAAATATAAAAAATAAAATTTAAATATTATCAATAAATAATAAATTTACGGTAATAGTGTGATTGTAAAATTTATAAAATATTTACAATATGTTTATTATTTGTCATTCATTTTATGATTTAAATATCAATATGATTGTATTAACAAAAATATTTGTGTAAAAAATATTTTGTGTGTCATATATAAATAATATTTAAAAAAAAAAAGATCAATCTCATGTCAACTATATAATAATTAAATGTATTAGCCTAATTAAATGATATAAAATAGTAAATAAATTTTTTGGTTTACTTTATTATTAAATATATTTTATATTAATCTTATATAACTTCACATGTAATATAATAATACAAAAATTCAATGCATAATTATAGAACAAAGTTCAAGCATATATATATATATATATATATATATATATATATATATGTGGGTATAGGGCGGGGTGAGTACTTAGATACCCATACCCGCACTCATTCCTATTAAAATTTACAAATTTTTACTCACATCCATACCCGTACCCATATACGGGTAAATACCCTACCCATTGTGGGTAAATTTTGCAGGTGTCCATCAGGTACTTTACCCATTGTCATCCCTAACTTAGAAAGAGAGGAAAAAAAAAACAGTGGTGCTTCCAAAGGAAATATGAAACTAAGTTATACATGTTAGAAAATTAAAAAACCAAATACAATGAATACATCATAAAATAAGATTAATGACCACTATAGTAGATCTTTTAATGATGAAGAATATAATGAACAAGTTAATAAATTATTAATAAAATTTGTTTCTAACAGCTTTATGAACAAGTTAATAAATGATAAAGAAGTTTTTTATTAGGAAAAAAACTAATTTTGTGCTTAAGCATTAATGTCTTAAAGGACTGGATTAACATGTAGTGAAGTTATGTAACAATTTTATCCAATAAGGAAATTATCTTGAATTAAATGAATTTGGTTGAGCCTCCCAATACACATATTATACATCTACAATTGTGAAGACTATGATAAAATGTTCAATGGTAAGTCATTTGACTTATATATAAATTATGGTGTTTTCTAATAAATTCCATTGGTTATTAATCTAAATTATTGTTAAATTACAAGAATCAATCGAAAGAGCTCAAACTTCTGAAATTTTATTGAATATTTCATTTTCTGATGTAGTGCAATTGTTTTGGAAGGAAATCAGAAGAAAATTTGTCTTTGGTCAATAAGAGAAAACTAAAAGCTTAGAGAACCTGTTTGTGGGAACATGAAGATTTTAATTATAGAGACACGATGGCGACAGATATAAAATCAGAGCTTTTTGTTAAAGGAGACACCTTTTTACCTTGTACGCTTCTAGTTTTTTCTTCTTCCTTTTCTGTATGAGATTTTGATAAGAAGATGGGATACATTCCTTTATTCTCTTTATTCTTAATGGAACAATAATTTCCTTTTTTTTTTTGTTGCTATAATTTCTTTCCTGTTAAGTGTAACACCCTCTTTTCATTATTCAGTAAATTATGTTTTGTTTAATATTAAGCAGTATTAGAATGCATTTAAAAGTGTGTATGGAGGATTTTTAAAAGGATTTTGGTATAGGAGGTCTCGCTCAGGCGAGGCAAATCTCACTCAAGCGAGGCTGAGCGCCCAGAAATATGATATTTCAGGGCAATCTCGCTCAAGCGAGATGATTCTTGCTCAAGCAAGATAAGATAAATTCAGCTCAACTGTCACCTCGTCTAGGCGAGAGTGATCTCGCTTAAGCAAGCTAAGATATCGCTTAGGTGAGATAAGACGCTCAGACGAGGACTCATAGGAAAAGCGTCTTGCTCTCTAGACGTCATCTCGCTCAAGCGAGATGAAGCTCGCTCAAGTGCGCATATCAAAAAATGTTAGGTGAGACCACTGTTTGTATATCTCGCTCAGGCGAGATATCTGTTGCTCAAGCGAGATGTCTGTCGCTCAAGTGAATTATTCCTTGCTCAAGCGAGAACACGTGGGGCTGAGGGTTATTTAAGAGATTTCCAACATGAAAATTTTATTTCATTCCAAATCTCACATTCCACTCTTGTTTTCTCTGAAATCTCTCTTCCTTTCTCCAAAGAAAAGCCTCAAAAACTCTAAAACTTCTCCAAATCAGAGCTCAAACTTCGACTCAACAGAATCATTGGTGAGTATCTCAGAGCTCACACTCCTCGTTTTCACTTCTATCTTCTCTATTTTCTCTTTTCTTGAAGAGCACTCTTTTTTTCTGTAAGGTGTAGAATGACCTTGGTGTATGACCCATCTTTTTCATCCTTTTCTTCAATAAACTTGCCTTTAAGGTAAGGAGTGCTCTATTTTGTCATTATATTACAATATTTATTTGTGCTCATTAGAGCACTGTTACATGGACATTTCATAAAAATATATGATTGAAATATTTATTGTGTGAATAATGGAAGAAAATATGCTGGTTTGATTATTTGGACAGATTGGTTGCATGGACTGAATAATTATTTCATGCTTATATGCATTATATGATCAGTATTCAATGTGGAATATTATTAAACTTGCTAAGTGATTATGATGCTATTTCATGGAATATGTCTTGATGAAATAGTACGTTAAAGTGTGATACTGATTTGAAGGATTTAGTAATTGAAACTATGCTAAAAGAGTATGGGTGAAATGGACTTAGTCTACAAGTGCTTTACTAAGCACGATCTTGTGAGTGAAGGAGGAAATGATTTCAGAATGACCATAAGTGTAGAATATGGAATTAGATCTAATATGAATAGTTACAGAGATACACTGGGGGTATAGAGTCCAAAGACGATGAGAAATCTGAGGAAAATGTAGGATGATGAGTGACATTCAGCTATGTGCACACACTCTTTCTGAGAGCGAATGTACCACTTGGGCTCACACTCATTTCCTGACTAGACTCTTGACTATGTCTTTGCTAAGAGGCCCGACTATTGTATACGTTGTATCTGTGTGCATGGGCTAACCGATAACTATTTACCTAGTTAAGTAAGACGTTAAAAAATGTTAGAGGCATGGATATTTGTGATCACAGTACACTGGGAGTGCATATTGAAATGAGAGAATGGATAACGTATAATAAATTATTGTGTTGTGCATATGTGAATGTATTTGCAATATGAATAAGTGTGAAAAATGAATATATTTTCTTTATATTAAAAGTTATGATTTTGTAATGTAATGATTTTTAAATGATAGAATAGAAGCTCATTCTTACTAATATTTTCAGGAAAACAGGATGACAGAGCCTCAGGAAAGAGTTAGGTTAATAGCACAGTACATAATAGGCTTAATTATGTATTTAATGAATATCAAAGATTATGTTATTTTAAGTTTGCTATTCTTGTTGAAAATGTACCTAGGACCTTTATTATATTGGAGATGGACTTCTTTTATAGTATCATTTTTTATTTTTCCTAGGAGTAAAATACATCAGACTCTATGTATCTATATCTATAGTGGTATTGTTAGAACTCCAATAGCCCTTACCTATCTATTTACCTATCACGACTATGACCATCTCGGAAGACTGTCCAGATGGCCCTTTGAGCATGTTACTGGCACAGTGGTCACAACTGATTTAGGTGATCATTACATTGGGTCAAACGATGATCTTAATTTTGAAGATGTGATAGAAATAGAAAGCTAACATGGAATCGACTAGTACTGGGTTCTCAGAGTTGGAATGTATTTTAGAGATAGCTTTGGGACTTAAATTTGCTTATATGATGTAATTATTTTGATTTTGTAAATGTTATCTTAATTCCTATATATGTTTTGACAAACAGTTTGTAAATGTTGATATTTAATATATGTAATGTATATTCAAATTTACTATTGAGAAGAATTAATTCTGGATTATTATGGTTTGTAAATGTATTGTTGTTTCATTACCATTCCAAAGTTTGAAAATTTCATATAAACAAACCCATCTAAATAGGGACTTTATTTAATTTATAATAATAAAATTTAGCATATACAATAAATGGTATTTTATCTCTATTTATTCAAAATGAAAATATATTTTTTGATTAAAAATTTTTGGATGTTAAAATTTGGTATCAAAGCAGTTCATCCAAACCAGCCTAGGGTATGGGGCTAGTTTATCAATGTTGTGTGCTGTGTGTTATTGTTTAGGAATTGTTTGTTAGGACAACCTAATGGTTGAAAATTGTTTGATTAGTGTGAGATGTTTGAAATGTTTGTACGGTTTGAGCGGGATGTGAAATGTATGAAATAGAACTTAATGAGTGTATTTGATCTTTCTTGGAATTAGAATTATGGCCGGTAGAGGTAGACCTGCTGGTTTTACAAATGAGATCCTGGCCCACATGATGCAAGTCTTGGAGACCTTGGCACATAACCAAGATGCGGAGCCAGCAAAGTATTGTTGACTTTCATCATTCACAAAATACAACCCTCCGAAGTTTGAAGGGAAATTTGATCCAGAGGGAGCGTAGAGGTGGATAGCTGATATAGAAAAAATCTTTAATGCGATGGAATGTCGCGAGGAGCATAAGATGGTGTATGCCACTTATATGCTGGGGGGAGAAGCAGAGGACTGGTGGAGATTTACCAGTCAGACTCTGCCATAAGAAGAAGGATACATTCAATGGGAAGTGTTCAAGGCATGTTTCTTGGGAAACTATTTTCCAAGGGACTTAAAAAAACAAAAAGCCTGAGAATTCCTTGAACTTAAGCAAAAAAATATGTTTGTGGGAGACTATGTTGCATTCCACGAGCTTATAAAGTACTGGCCTCATTTTCAATATGAGAATGGAGATGAAGATCTATGCGCCCAGTTTGAGAATGGGCTGAGGCCCGAGATACGAGCCGCAGTCAATGTATTTCAAGTGGCTGATTTGCCAACATTGGTTAGCAAATGTTGAATCTTTGAGGCCAATTACAAAGGAAAGACTATAGATAGCCGAATTGGAGGACGGATAAGACAAGACTGAAGGCCTCGAAGGTTCCTAAAGGACCTCACTCGGGTATTAATCAGTCTCAGTCAAGGGGGACTGCATTCCGTGGAGGTAGTAGCAGTGGTTCTAATCTTTCAAGAGGACTGTTGAGATGTGGAGGACCCCATCTAGTAAGGAATCACAATCACCATCGGCTTATGGTATTTGTGGAAAGACGAGACACTGATCAACAATTAACTGTTGGTCAGCTCCTCAATAGAGTGGGAGTGTAAGTGGGAGTAATAGGCCTACTTCTAGAGCAAGCAGTGGGGAGAAGTTGAATGTGCAAGGCAATGTTTTTGCCATGAGTGGATCTAAGGCATCCAAGTCTGATGAACTGATTAGAGATAAATGCATTATTAATAGATTCTGTGATGTCTTATTTGATTCTGGTGCCACACATTTCTTTGTTTCTATGGATTGTGTGAGTTGTGTTGGGTTACCAATATCTTCCTTGCGATGTAATGTTATTGTGTCCACTCCTACAACTAAGCCTGTTGTAACCTCTTATGTATGCTTAGGCTGTTCTATAACGGTTCATGGTAGAAATTTCTCTGTGGATTTAATCTGTTTACCGCTTTCTCAACTTGACGTTGTTTTGGGCATGGATTACCTGTTATCCAATCGTGTTATGTTAGATTGTAAGGATAACTCTATATTGTCATTATATTACAGTATTTATTTTGTGCTCATTAGAGCACTATTACATGGACATTTCATAAAAATATATGGTTGAAATATTTATTATGTAAATAATGGATGAAAATATGCTTGTTTGATTGTTTGGACAGATTGGTTGCATGGACTAAATAATTGTTACATGCTTATATGCATTATATGATGATTATTCAATGTGGAATATTATTAAACTTGCTAAGTGATTATGATGCTATTTCATGGAATATGTTTGGATGAAATGCTATGATAAAGTGTGATACTAATATGAAAGACTTAGTAACTAAAACTATGCTAAAAGAGTATGGGTGAAATAGACTTAGTCTAGAAGTGCTTTACTAAGCACGATCTTGTAAGTGAAGGAGGAAATGATTTTAGAATGATCATAAGTGTTGAATATGGATTTGGATGTAACGTGAATAGTTACTGAGATATACTAGGGGTATAGGGTCTAGAGACGATAAGAAATCTGGGAGAAATGTAGGGTGGTGAGCGACATTCGGCTATGTGTACACACTCTTTCTAAGAGCAAATGTGCCACTTCGCCTCACACTCATTTCCTGACTAAACTCCTGACCATGCCTTTGCTAAAGGGCCTGACTATTGTATACGTTGTTTTTGTGTGCATGGGCTAACCGAAAACTATTTACCTAGTTGAGTAATACCTCAAAAAATGCTGGAGGCATCAAGATCTGTGATCACAGTGTACTGGGAGTGCGTATTGAAATGAGAGAATGGATAATGTATAATAAATTATTGTGTTGTGCATATGTGAATGTATTTGAAGTATGAATAAGTGTGAAAAGTAAATATATTTTCTTTATATTAAAAGTTATATTTTTTTTAATGTAATGATTGTTAAATAATAGAATAGATGCTCATCCTTACTAATATTTTTAGGAAAACAGGATGACAGAACCTCAAGAAAGAATTAGGTTAATAAATAGCACAGTACATAATAGGCTTAATTATGTATTTAATAAATATCAAAGATTATGTTATTTAAAGTTTGTTGTTCTTGTTGATGATATACCTAGGACTTTTATTATATTGGAGATGGACTTCTTTTATAGTATCCCTTTTGATTTTTCCTAGGAGTAGAATATATAAGACTCTATATATCTATATCTATAATGGTATTGTTAGAACTCTAGCAGCCCTCACCTATCTATTTACCTATCACGGCTATGACCATCTCTGAAGACCATCTAGATGGACTTTTAAGCGTGTTACTGGCAGAGAGGTCACGACTGATTCAGGTGATCGTTACCTTGGGTTCGATGATGATCTTAATTCTGAAGATCTGATAGAAATAGAAAGTTGGCATGGAATTGACTAGTACCAGGTTCTAAAAGTTGGAATGTATTTTGTAGACTGCTCTAAGATTTAAATTTGCTTATATAATGTAATTATTTTAGTTAGATAAATGTTATCTTAATTCCTATATATATTTTGACAAACAGTTTGTAAATGTTGATACTTATAGAAGAATTAATTCTCAATTATTGTGGTTTTTAAATGTATTGTTTCATTACCATTGTAAAGTTTGAAATTTTCATATAAACAAACCCATCTAAAAAGAGACTTTGTTTAATTTGTAATAATAAAATTTAGCATATACAATAAATAATATTTTATCTTGATTTATTCAAAATGAAAATATATTTTTTGATTAAAATTTTTAAGATGTTACATTAAACATGAATTCTATTTCTGTAATATATTTCAATTTCTTTTTCATTACAATTTCTGCTATGTCTAGCTAAATTCCTTGGCATTGAGAATGGATGAAATTAGTTCTTACTCATTGTGATGCTCTAAACGCTAAGTATTACTCATTGTAACTCTATTTAATGCATTTAATCAAGAACTTAATACCTCCCTAGTTCTCAGTATTCAAGCTTGATGTAAAGAATATTATAACTGAAAAGTTGTAATCTTTCTCGGAGTTAAAGCACTCATTAAAGATTAACTAGGGATAGTAATCTTCAATGATGTGTGGTTGCTGTGATTCTGAACTGCATGCTGGTCAATTCTTAATGATCTAAGAAATTGGAAATTAAGAGTAAGTTTAGAACCAAATATTCAAAAGATTGATGTTGGGTATTACAGAAATGTAACCATTAGATTAGTTGCATTCTGAGTTTTACATAATTGTAGCAATGAGAAAGAACTAATGAATCCGGACTCAACCCATTTTTATATTACTTCCAATTAGTTTAATCAATTTACTACACTTTTCTATTCTGCAATTTGCTGTTAGTTTTACATAAATCTTTTACTCTCAGTTTATTACTTTTGCTAAATCAATTTCTCAGTTTACTTTTGCTTTTAATATTCTGCACAACAATTAATTTCCGCTTTATAACTTTTGTTCTGTTTTAACCCAACTAGTAAGAATTTTGTGATTTGGTAGCTAACATTAATTTCAGAGAATGACATAATTAAAATTATAACTGTAACGATTTGGTGCGCTTGCTAAAAGTTAACATTCAGCAGTAAATATGTTTCAATTTTGGTTACCTCCCGCAACATACATTATACCTTAATAAGGTTGCAGCAGAACTTCTTGACAATTTCTACCTCATCATCATTCATGTAGGTAGACAATTCAAGTGAATCTCTGTATCACAACCCAAATAATACAAACTAAACAATGTGTAAAAACAATTAGAAGTTAAGAGAAATAAAAAAAGAAAAAAACAGAGATTAGAAAAACAAAATAAAATACAAACTAAAGAATATATGAAAGAATAAAAAACACACATGATTAACACTGTGAATTTTAAGACGTTGAGTGAAAGCCTTGGAACGGCAATGGAAAGGTACGCTAAATAGAGTTAAAGTTGAAGAAAGGCTGCGAAAACGAACCTGTAAATGAGATTTGAAGTAACAGCAAATGATGTTTTCAAAATTTTGAGATTGAGAATGGAAGCGAAAACACTATTCGTATATGTATTCAGCAAAAGCACAAATATAATTTATTAATTCAATGGTTTGATATTATCTTTAATCTAATAATACACATATATAATAAAGCCGTAGGTGCTACCACATTTGTAAAATAAAAATATTTTTTATTAATTTTAAAAAATGAAATAAATATCTTATGAATTAATTTTTTAAAAACTAACTAATTATAAAATATACTAAAAAAATATGTTGTATTTGTTTTATTTCGAGGAAGCATTCACACGTGATAAAGTCATCGTCAAGATTGGCAGCAGCCTCAATGCATTAAACAATGTTTGTAAAAATGTCTGGGACATGCGAGTCCGGCTCTTCAGATAATGTAAGGACAAAGAAAAACTAATATTTGAAGTAGCATTTACGCATAAAAAACACCCTATTGGTAGTTTAATTGGTACTCTGACGTGACTTCTAAAAAAAAAATAGTTTATAAGTTTACAAATATAATTTATTTTAATCTTCTTTTAATTCAAAATAACAATAGAAAGGTAAAATAAATTACTTTTATGTAAATAATTTGATAAACAAAAATATATAAAATTGAATAATTCACACTTACAATTCTATCACAATAATTTTTATAACAAAAGTTTGTAATTTATTTAAAAATTTGTAGTTCTTTTTATAACATAAATTTACATTGTAAGTAAATAATTGTTTAAATGAAATTATATAAAATTAAAATACTAAATATAATTATAATAAAATTTTAAGTTTACTTATTAAAGATATAACTTTTGGAATAAAATTTTTTATATTTGAGCTTTGAATTATATGATAAGTAATTAGATAAAATTTTCCCCTCAATTTATTCTTCCAAATCACAATCTAGTTAAATATATAAAATACTAATATCAGTTCTCCTGTAGCTAAGGTTGTCTAATGGGTCGAGTCGGGCATATTCGAGTGTGGTTGACCTAAGAATAGTCAAAATCGACCCTTACATTGTTGGGCCTGTAATGTCCGTCTAGAAATTCAGGTTGAACGGGTTGTCGGTTAAGTGAGTCGAAGAATCGGGTTAGGTCAATTTGGACTCAAAATGGTTTGCGCCAAAAATGATCAAAATCTTATTTGTCCATTTTTTCAAGCCCGATTTTAATTTGCATATTTTTTTTTTCCAATAGAGTATAGTATAGAAATAGAATTTTTGGAAAATATAATGTATGACAAATAATAGATTAGAATAAATTTTTATATTGAAGTGAAGTCATAGTTTAGTTAAAAAAATAGAACTAATATCATAATAAATCCAAATCTATCCTTACACATCAAAAATTAAATAAACCAATCCAAATCTACTCATTCAAATGCATTTCAAGAAGGGAAAATTTTAAATATCAATTGGATCCTAAATTTAGTCCTCAAATGTACAACCTAAAATACACCTCTCTTCAAACTGTGTAGGAAATTAAGGGGCACATGAATGAATCGAACTTACATCAGAATGAGAGGGGGATTCAAAGACTGTATATACAGTTAAAGATAGTTTAAAAGAATTAATTAGGACTACCTATACCAACAAAATGCATTTACTTTTTGGTGGCCTATCACTTAAGAACTCCAAAGTTAAGCGTGCTTAACTTGGAGTAATTATGGGATGGGTGTCTATAAAGATTTTGGATTTGTTCAGAATGATCAAATTATATCTGGTCTTGTTTCCACTTTTCCAGTCATTTTAGATACCATTTTTAAATATTAGATTTTCCGTTATTTAAATCGCGTATCTCCGTCACTTGTAGTGATTTATTATTCAATGAATGACTGATTGAAAAACCGATCCATTGATCCAATTTTAAAGTTTGTTTTCTTTTTTTTTTTTTGTATAAAAGCTAAAACATTAAAAAAAAATGACTTTTTGTTTTTCCTTCTTTCCCCTCTCCCCTGGATTCTATATATGTTCCTGGGAAGTGTGCATAATTGATCCATCAAAAATTATTTCAGAATTATACAAGACATATTTCTAGCAATTTCAAATATTAAAATGCATAATTTTATAATAAATTGCTCAGAAATCAAGTCCCATATGTAAGCACAGACACAACAACATGTTCATACGAAAATTCTTCATGCAGCATTAATTTTTCATCAAAGATTATAATTTTAGCATGAAATCAACCCCATCAACCCTCAATTGCATATTCAAATCAACAATTTCACAAAATTTGCCTCCAATTTCAAATTCCCAAATTTTCCCCAATTTACGCTCTGAAGAACCCTAATCAAAAATTTCAAAATTGGAGGAAGAATTACTTGGAATTGAAGTGCATAAATGATGTAATCCTACTTGCAGATGATGGTGTAACATATAATTAACAAAAACACTGTTAATAATATGTAGGAAAATCAGATTTTAGGGCTAGGGTTTAGGGCAAATGTAAGGATTTAGGGTTTGGTGCTTCTACATTATCACTATGAGGGGTTTATATGGCTACACAGAGTGGGTGGACAATTTAAATAGGGAAAGTAGACATGCTGGACAATTTTTAATGAAATGCAAGTGAGCGTGTTTACTCTAAGCAATCAGAGTGTCCACTTAAATTGAGGTGTGCAAATCACGTGACCACTTTAAGTGGCTGGAGTTGGAACATAAAAGTGCTGACTTGTGCGCGTGTTCACTTCAAATGGTGAGAGTAGCCACGCAAAAACTTTGCTCAGAAGTGCGTGTCCACTTCAAACGATCAGAGTAATAGCGCACAGTTGTGCGTGGACACTTTAAATGATTGGAGTAGCCACGCAGAAGCCTCTTCTTCAATTTTCTCAGATACCTTTGCGTGTGTTCACTTCAAGGGATAAGAGTATCCACGCAAAGTTGCGCGTGTTCAATTTGATCAAGCAGAGTAGTAGCGCACAAGGTCATTGGTTGCGCGTGTCCACTTCAAGTGATGAGAGTGTCCACAAAGAAGCTTTCTCTTCAGAGTTCATATCTGCCCTTTTGTCATGTTCACTTTAAGCGATCAAAGTGTCCACGCAAAATTGCACATGTTCACTTTGATTAGGCAGAGTAGTAGCGCCCAAGGTTATTTGTTGCGCGTGTCCACTTCAAGTAATGAGAGTGTCCACGTGCAAACTTCACTGCAGAATTTAAGGACAATGGTCTTTTACGTAGACACTCAATACACTTGAAGTGTCCACTTAAATGATCAAGCTTCAGAAAATAGCCTTTGCGCCTTAACTCTTCCTCCTTAAAGTGATTACTTAATTGATGAGTATCATTCAAAATACAATTCCACCACATTGTTCTTGCTTGAACCAAAGCCTGCAAACATTAAAATCCAAATTGCATTTCATTATCACTTGGAAAATTAGAATTAACCACTACATTCTAACTAAAAAAAATTAGACAATGCAGAATTCTACAATTCAAAATTC